ATGCTAGGCTTGTCTGACTGCCCCTGTTCTACTAGTTTGACTTATGTATTTGACCTGACAATCATTGCAGGGTATTAGATAAACTAAATTGTTTTGTTTTAATGGCTCCACAGAATCCTTTAACCGACAAAGCTTGTTTCTAATTGAGTTTGTTGGTTTGAATGTCAGTCACTTTTATTCCTGCCTTGTGAAGAATTCTGCGTAAGGCTTCCGAGGTTCCTTCCTTGTATGGAATTACTACTGATGATTTAGATCCTTCATTGTTGTTGTTGTCTTGCTCATGTTTGACATGCATATCGTCATTAATATTACAATTATTATTACTATAGTTATCTTCATACCTTGTGGTTGAACCCAACACAGGAATGAATTCGCTGCACACTTAGGTTAATTTTATTGAAATACTTTTATTTCAGGACACTTAAAAACATTCATATTTTCTCAAAATCTGTAATGAACTACATAGATTCATATGAACTGTGATCAAGATTTGACCAAATAGTTCGAAAATAGTTGGGCCCCGTGTGAGAAGTAGACATAAGTAAAAATTTTATTTGTAAAATCTCAGTATTTGTCCATCCAGACATCTGGAAAATTCTACTGCCCTTACGACGAATAGGAAAGAAAAGAAAGAAAACTATAAAACAAAATTTTCGTAGTTGTATAGTTAAAACTGATGTAATTATGAATAATAAACACTGTGTTCGAAACCTCGTCATCCACTGCTCGTTGTCCTTTACATCCAGATGGAATTATGAACGCATTGAGGCTTGTGTCTGCGTTCCACGTTATTAACATTTAGAGGAGTTCTTTACCATCAAACAGAAGGCATTGCTGTGGGATCACCGGTGTCTCCGCTAGTCACCCATCTGTTTATGCATTCATGAGAAACAAATGCAATTATGAGATACTCTAGAATACTCTTCAAGAATGTGTTTAAGATACGTGGATGATGTCTTTGTCATAACTAGATTTGCTGTTCGTGGACTGTTTAGTAAAAATAAAACCAGATGGTAAACTGAAGATATGCATTATCAGAAAGCCGCCAAATTCTGACAGATACACAGACTACTATTCAACACACCCCTTTAAGACCAAAGTAAATGTGGTGAAGAATCTGATTAACAGAGCCAAACATCTAGTTACTGGGGAGGATGAGATCAGCAAAGAATGAAAATTGGTTCAGTCCACTCTTGAATCAAATAACTACCCCAAAGCCTTTAGCAAAATATATTTAAAATATGAAGATAAGGATGAATAAAAACCTGTTGCTGAGATTCGGGTTAGTACAGTGGTGATTCCTTACCGCAAAGAAACATCGGATGAGATAAAGCGAATCATTAACAATTATGATGTAAGAGTGCACTTTCGCGAAACGGATACCTTACGCTCATCACTGTTGAAGGCTAAGGGTAAAATAGAAGAAGATAACCAACAGAATTTTGAGCATCAGATCAGTTGTGGGGACTGTGACGCCGTATACGTAGAAGAAGCTTCCAGACAGATAAGTGTAATAGTGAAAGAGCATGAACAATGTCTAAAGGTGGTTCCAAAGACCTATGCAGACTTGAAGAAGCTATAAAACAAATCGGCAATTGCATTGCACTCTATGGAAACCGGAAACAAGATTGACTTTGATAGGACTAAGGTTCTACAGAAATATTTTGGTTCGTATAAAGAAGGACTGACTGCAGAAGCTCTAAATTTATGGCTGAATCCCAAACGTTTGAACAGACGTGAAGGTGTGGTGTTAGTTGATGGATGGCACGTCCGTATTTATAAATAAGAATGGATATATATCAATAATGAGTTATACTTGATATAAATCCATGATTGCCTATATCTTCTTATGGAGAGGCTAATAAATCATTTACACTTGTTGTCGCATACAAACATACACATGCATACAACATTGTATACCACATTTATACCTATATATTTTTCACATTCAGTTGTCTATGAACATGAACTGTAGTCGAACGTATTCATTAAAAATCCGATGAAAAAGTCTACACATTTTACAGTGTTTAACAAAAGTAGACTAATAATTTTTATTTTTACTGACAGTAATATATGTAAGTCTGAGGTCAAATTTGATTAAAGCTCATACAATTTTATTTGTCATATTTTGGATGACTGTTTCATGACTCATATTATTGATTTCCAGTAGTTGGTTTGTAAGGATTAGATTTGTTTTACGAGTTGATCAAGGATTGATATTAGTTAGAGAACCATTGAAAACGAAGGAGTACTGAAAAGTTGTTTTATCCTAGTTTGGGAATCACTGGCAGTACGCACTCACTGGTATACGAGCTCGCCTCTTAACCAGAAGGCCCTAGGTTCGAACTCCAGTGGGCACGTGCCGCCAATGATTCACAAACTAGGATGAAACAGCTGTCCAGTACTCCCTGCTGGTTTTCAATGTTTCTCTAACTGATATCAATCCGTGATCAACTTGTCATATGATCGGATCAAATTTTTAAAAACAAGAGATGTCCTTGTAATATTTGGGTCTCTGTTATTTTGATTTTGATTAATTTCCCTGAAAAATTTCGGGCCAGTTTGCCGAATGAAACTTTGGAATAACTCATTTCAGTTTCTCTGAGATTTTACAAATATGAACCACATAGATGCTGGATAAAAGGTCCAGTGTTTAGATTGCCTGACTGGCAACCTAAAGACGCTAAGAACTAATAGCTGGAGACTAATGGAGACACCTTCCTTATTTCCAATAGTGCTGTTTTGGTGTTTTTATCAGTGATGGTGACACTATCCCTGTGGAACTGAAAAACCACCGCTTTTGGGGATACATAAGGAATGGAATAATTCTGATCTGTCACTTATATTTGATAGAGAAATATGGATACGAACACACTTATATTCTTCACCATATTTTAATGACTTATTTCATGGTAATATGATGTAATGTTTGGATAAAGAGTCTTTTGGTCAGTACAAATATGCCCACGATTTGTGAGTGTTTCCAGCTCAACATATCTGTCAGTTTACGAAGACTATACTAATACTTTTGGACAATACAAATTGATCTTTGTACACAGGATATACATCAATATATACTGTAAATAAATAAAAAATTACCTTATATTACACGTTTGCATTGTTTTTAATGTCAGCTGAAGGAGATTCTGTCCTCGAATGTCAGATATGATATCAGATGGCTGGGGGCAATCGGCAGGAAGCCTTGAACCTAGGTTTCGTGCTAGTTGGCATTCATCAGCAAGGCGTATCTGCAACCTTGAAGGGACTCATGTCCCTTCTGAGATTCCAACCCGCGTCACCCAGTGCTGCAATCAGAGACGTTACCACTGAGCTATTCGGGCTTGCGATTGACCTCCTGTAGGACTGTAGTGGATATTTTGATTTGACACCAGTAACTAGTGTGATGCGTCTAGTCCTCTCTTTGGTGCAGACTGAATTCTATCAGTCAGGTTGTAATGTGGCCACCATTCTAGGTAGCTCGCCATCACGGTGTACATAGCTTGTGATGATATTAGGTGGTTAGATGTCAGATATTCTACTATTTTGGGAATTTTCACTGTACACATATGATGCCGTCAGAAATCTAACCCATCGGTAAGAATTCCTCAAAAATCGTCGGCCGAGAATATCTCCCACTATGGCTAAGTAAAGGTGTAGTGAAAACCATCAACAGTTCAATATTAGACCATCTGATGCAAACCGGCCACAAAACCAGCGTGGAAGAATCCTTCTCTATCATCTACCGCGTGCCTAATAAATTGCCAAAATCATCGAAGCGCCGTATGCTCCAAACAGCAGAGGCTATTGCAATTGGTCTCAAAAAACCATTGCTTTGTGTGCAAAAGAAGCAAGTCCAGCCACTACTAGTACTACTGCCCTGGCCGGCATTCAGTAGAGACTATGAATTCATGAATTTGTAATATTATCTTTCCTAATTTTTCTGACATTCAGCTTATTTTATGTTGATGCCACTGAACTGTAATCTATCGATATTATTGATTCGATGTAATTTAAACATTGATGTTGTTCATAACATTAATTCATTCATTCACTATAATGTATATATAACTGTAAAGCCTGATGATGAAGTTGTCGAACAAAGTACTCTTTGTTCAGTATCTATTGTTGAATGCTTCAAAGTTGGGCGAATTTCACGAACAACTAGTTTAGTCTTGACTAGACGCCAGATTGGTTCTGAAATCAATGCAGTTCGCCACATTACTCAAACCTTTTCACCAACCTCTGGTTAAAAACTTCTTTGGTCCTAATTTAAACGCCTATTGTCCTGTGTGTCGACACACTATCGATGGACGCATAAAAAAAAATTTCAATCAGCCCAATAGCACTGTGGTTCCTGGTATTTCGTATATCTTGTCCATATAGGCTACACCGATTCCAAGACTGGCAAAATGTTGAACGCAAAGACGATTTTATTCGGCAACAAATTCACAGTGACACCCATATCGGCCATTCCTGACGGTTAACTGCAATGTCCTTGAAGATGGACAAACAAGATTATAATTTGCCAAGGAAACGGTGTACAGCAGGTATGGATGCAATCTTATCGCCCTCGATCCAACGATTAGGCAGAAAAGTTAGTGGACACCTCCAAGACAACTGTATTAAAACCAAGATGAAGAGCTACACTGAAAATTACACAGTAGTCCCTGTTCGTTTATGACGTAAAGGAAGGATAATCCATTGGTCGTCTGTCTAGATATTAACCGGACAACCGACTGGTCCATTTTCCAGACAACCTATCCATTCATAAACCAAGTATCAGGTCATGATAAATAAATAAATATTGCATCATGAAATCAGTTAGTAATCCTCGTACAGGCTTATCACATAATCCTGATACATTAGTAGTAAATCAATTTTCTGGTTGAATTAACCGAACACCTGATTTTAGTTGGATTAGTTATCATGACAAAATAATGTGAACTAAGTAGAATCTAAACTAATTTTTGCAAATATCTTTTTTCTTCTCTTAATTTCAGGTGGTCGAAGTGTATATCAGATAACAAATACTGAAGATCTACGTTATGCACTCAAAGAATTATATCGGAAGTACATTAAAGATCATTGTGTTCGACTTCATGTTACACCACTGTCTCACTATCATGAATATGGGCCACCTCCTCCATATGAACAATGCTTTTCATAGTGTGTAAAATACTTGTTGTTTAGTATGGTGTAGTTTCTCAGGGGAAATTCATTTATCATCAGTGAGCCCTTTGTAAATATAACATGTATCAACGAAGAATGAAGTAATTTGTTTTATTTATTTATTTATTTTTGATTACAGCTTGATTCCACACCGTATTTTCGGCACAAATATGGAATTTTCAGCATGTGATATGGGTAGCCCAAATTTTGCAGACCGACCATTGATATAAGGTGTGCGTTGGCAGGAGATCGAACCCCGGACTATGTGCATAGTCGGCGAGAGTCCCAACCACCGTGCCACCGATGCACCTCATTTTATTCCGTTCTATCGCTTTATTCCTCTCCTTGGATTTATAATTCCGATTGATAAGAAGGCAGGACATTGTGTTTAGTGATTACCGCTCATCTTGGTGCTCCTTTTCAGGGTAATAATGTGATAATATAACTAATTATAATTAACTAATATTATTCTGATAAGTGGTTGGAACCAATCATTTGGAAGATTAATTAGAACCAAAATTTGTTCTGTCATTTCTTCCCAACAAGGCTTATCAGTGAAGTAGATGGCACTAAGCAGGCTCCAGACCCAAGTCAGAACTGATAATACCGGTCTAGGCTGGAAAAAATACTGTTCACTAATTGATCGTTGTGAAGTACTTCTTGTCAAGTGTGATACCTACAGTTGACTAGCGTATACTGAAAACATTAATAAACTTTGTCATTAAACTGTGAATTCGCTGCTGGTATTAACTATTGGCTGATGTCTACTATTGGTTAGTGATATCACCGATTTCCTTGGCAATGGAAACATGAATAAACAATTCTGCGGAGAAATTGTCTTTGGCGATTACATTCACTTTTATGTACACTCAAATATTCTTTAGACACATTCCCTTCGGAGTAGTATATAGGACTTCAAACTGCAGTAACGGTGGTCTTGCCTTCATAGAGTCAGGTTCCTAGCCACACGGTCAACCTTCCCCATTTTCTAAGCTTATAACCTACCGGATAGAAGAAGTCTGGGAGTGCATCGGCTGTGAATCGAACCCGAAGGTCTTGCGTGATTGGTGAACATTTAATCACTGAACCACTGATGCACACTTCCGCTGCTATATACAGTTATGCAACAGTTATGTAAAGTAATTGTGTATGTTTGGGATTACATAGTAGTTTGAATGAAACCATCCAAAAGAGTCTCTTCCCTGAGCCATTTTTCTTATTTTCATGTCTAAATGGGCATTTTTGGCGTATCTTTGTTACTGAACAAAAATAGTTATATCAAATTGTATTTATGCACTGATAACGAAAGCAGAAATCCTAAATGCAACCAAGCTTCTGAAGTCCGGAAAGTTATCAGTACCAGAAAAAATCACCTCCCCCTCCGAAGCATTGAAAATGACTATGGCAGATATTCTCACGACATTCCCTCACTGTATACAGAACTCCGCCACTCACCGGGAAAATCTGGCTGGATTCAGGAAAGGCAAGTCAAGTTCTGATCAAATTTCAACTCTACGCACCTTTATCATGGAATAAAGCATAGAATGGCTGTCAAACTTCACTCCACCTCAATTTCATCGACTTCGGAAAGGCCTTCACCAGACAGTGCTGATCGAGAGGTAATTTGGAAACTACTTGAACACTACGGCGCACCTCAAGTCTTTATCAACTTCATTCAACAAGTGGCTATATGAAAATGCCTCCCACTTATCAGATGATCCACAACAAGAAACTCAGAGAGGCGTTGGAAGTCAATACAGGAGTAAGACAAGGCAGACTTCATATTATCACCAACGATGATATTCCTTATTGTGGTAGACTAGATTATGAATCAGGCTGTGGGGAGCGAAGAGTCAGGAATAGGCTAGACGACCGATGAGAAGACTCCAGAATATCTGGTTTTCGCAGATGATATAATTATAATGTCACAAAACCTCGAAGACTTGCAAGCAAAACCAGTACACTGTCAGAAGAGGCTGGAAGTGAAGGCAGGACTGCAGGTGAACATAGAGAAAGCAGAGGTGATGAAGATAACCAACCACCACCAACAGCAACAACAACAACAACCAGCACCAACTTATCTGCCTAGGAAGCATCGGTTCAACTACAGGCGGAACGCATGAAGATGTCAAAGTCAGAATCAGAAAGGTAAGATATACCTTCATCTACCTGAAGTGATTTTGGAAATCTGCACTCAGCGCAAAGAACGAAATTTGAATTTCCAACCCCAATGTGAAGTCGGTTCTTCTATACGGGTCAGAAACTTGCACTACACGTGAGTCATGAAAAGGATTTCCAACATGTTGCAGACTTTTATTAACAGCTGCCTTTGCTGGCTCCATACTGAAGATCAAATGGCCAGTCGGCCAGCCAGAAAGAATTAAAAAGAAAAAACTATGGCTGAGAACAAACTAACCAAGAGTCGACTGCTTAACAATATGTAGTAGAAAATAAAGATGGATAGATTTGACATACGTTGAAGAGGTCGTCAAATGACATCGCGCGAGACCATCGTGTGGTATGACAATGGGAAGCCTCCTAAATGTATGCTCAATCCACCCATATCCATTTTCTCTCACAAATCTGTTGGTTAATTCACACCTGATTGGTTTATTCCCCCGGTTTCTTGTAAATTATCCTTTCTGAACATTCGATCTTCAGTATAGAGTGAAGGCAGCTGTTGATAAGAGTCTGCAGAAGCCTGTTGGAAATGCTTTTTGTGACTCACATGTAGTGCAAGTTTCTGACCCGTATGGAAGGACCGACTTCCCATTGGTGTTGAAAATTCGAATCTTGTTCCTTATGCTGTCTAACTGCAGAAGAATTACAAACTGCCTTCAGACTGATGAAGGCATATCTTGCCTTTCCGATTCTGACTTTGACATCTTCAAACGTTGCGCCGGTAGTTGAATCGACGCTTCCTACTCGGATAATTGAAGGAGGTAACCTCTGTTACATCTCTCCCGTTGATGGTGATTGGTACTGGTTGTTGTTGTGGCTGGTGGTGGTGGTGGTTGGTTATCTTCGTCAACCTCGTTTTCTCTGTGTTCACCTGCAGTCCTGTCTTCGTTACCTATTACATTACCCTACTATCCCATAATTCACTGCTAGTGTCACTATTATTATTATTACTATTATCTTATCGGAACACAGAGCTTTGACAATACATCGCGATTTCATCCTCTTCTCCTCATTCCTTTTAGCTAGCTACACGACTGTCCATAAGATTCCATTTGCACCTAACACGATCTTCTCTATGTCACCATTAGACGCCAGATTCACTGCATCTCATTCGGATTCTACTCGAGGCCTTGGATTGTGATATCACTCATTTCTTTTGCGCGATAGTTTCTAGTCTGGTTTGTTACCAGACTTCCTTTTCTGCTCATTCCTCAAGGCTGATCATCCGGTCTTTAGTATGCAGAGAAGGCAGGTATTAATGAAAGTCTTCGGCCACCTTCTGGAAGCGCTTTTCACGATGCACTGTAAGTCTCTCAATCATATGGAAGATATGACTGACTTGGTTTTAGGGTTGATGATGCAAATTTCTTCCCTAATGCTGAGTGCAACATTGTCATTAGGTATCACAAGTACTTTTATCTCAGGCTTATTTATTTATAATCTAAACAGGTTTCTTAAATTATATTTCCTCATGTCACAAACGTTTAGTTTGAAATCCCCTTGGGGGTAACTATAAAAGTAGATGTCAAGCATTTAACTGATTCGAAAATTTATTTCAGTTTCATAGAATGTATCTTCAGCTTTTCAAGTGCTATTACATACTGCGTAGGTTAGTTTTTTCATAACAAACACTGATACGGTTTATGATGTTGCTGTGTTTTCTGAGCTACATGGTTTATTTGTGAAGCCTTCATTGCCCTACTAGGCAATATCTTCAGCTCATACTTCAATTTGAAATGAGCTCGTATTTCTCCACGAGTTGGTTAGTCATCTTTCCTGGTTGCTTTCAATGGGATTGATTGTTTCTGTGTGTTTTCACACTCTCTAACCTACTAGTATTGGTATTGGTGTTGATTTTTTCCTTGACCTGAAGTTTGACCCTTTGTGTGTGATATTTCCTTCTTATCGATCGGTGAATTTTGTCTAAATCAATGTGTCTAATAATTGATGATTCACTGGAATACCAGGCTTCTAATAATTCTCTGGGATTCATGGTGCTATACCAGTCGAAATGATGTCCTTGGTTGTCTGTATGCACTGATACTGTACCAATAACTAGAAAATGCTTTGAGCTCAAGAGTATAGCACATAATCATATCAGTGTATTTACACAGCTTCCGAATTTACTTTATGTAACTGTGATCAAACAGTCTCATACCAGCTATTATTGAGAAAATTTCAAAATAAAACGCCGGAAATTTCTCTAACATCATCACTGTTAAGGGACTGACGAAAATGTCATCTGTTTTACTTAGTAAAATATTGTTCATACTATTTTAACTACTAAAAACATTTCACGTAGTATAAAAAATAGCCTTTCAATTTACTGAAAAGTTCATTGTAATCATAGTTTATAAAAAGAATTGTATTATTCGACAACCTTCCTAAAACTTTGAACAGAGTATAAGTATAAGATGGAAATAAAGTACATAAAGTTTTGGTTATTACATTCAGTTTTCATCTGTTATACGACTAGTAGTGGGCTCCATGGTACGTATTTAGTCCTATTTCAGACTTGTCTTCCGGATAGTCAGGAAGCCTTTGACCTCGGTTTAGTGCTTGTTGGCAATTGCCAGTCAGAAAGGCGTATCTGCAATCTTGATTAATTCATGTCTCTTCTGAGATTAGGACCCGTGTCAATCCGTGCTGCAGTCAGAGACGTTACCGCTAAGCTATTCAAGCTTGCAATTGACCTCCTGTAGGATTTTATTAGATACTTTTGATTAGACACCAACTAGTTTCATGTGTCTAGTCTTTTTGTTCACTAAAGAGACTAAATCCTATCAGTCAGTTTTACAATCTGGCCACCATCTCAAATAACTTGCCATCACGGTACACTCAGGATTGTTGTTATTAGATCGTTGGAGGCAATTGGCTGATAGGACCAGACACATGACACTGGTTAGTGTCCAATCAAAAAGTATTAATGATTTTTTTGGAATTATTATTTTGAACTACTCATTGATTTATTACACTGGAACGAAATACTTGATCTTTTTTTTTTTTAATAATAATGCACTTTATTTCACAACAATAACAATTTACAGCATGGAATTTTCAGCGTTTCATTTTACATATTGCATTGGTTTAGCTCTTTTTATAATTATATAAATGTATAAAATTTTAAAAATATTAATAGTTAATAGGAAAAATAAAAACCCCAACAAAATGACACCAATTGCTAGGCCATAGTGAATAATAAATAAATAATATAACAAATCACACATGCAATAATATGCATCATTACATTTTTTAGTTTAGTTAATGATTTAGAAGTTGTAAAAGTTCTTTTCTGATATTCGTCTCTTCACACAATACTCGTGCCAAATATGGTACAGTCGAATTTTTATATTTTGTAGTACGAGCATAAATGTTTATGAAATTTCTTCTGGTCTTACCCGAAGAGATACAAGGAAACAAATGTGAATAAAGAGGATGTTCACTATCAGACAAAATAACTTTAGCTAAGTGTTTACAAGAATTCAAATGCCTATTGACAACAGTGTCGGTTAGTTGAGTCAAAGGGATAGCACTGACCCTACTTACAGCCTTCAATGTTCTTCGTAGTATTATATGGTCTTTTTTGAGTAGCCCAGGGAAGAATAATGGGGAACAATAAAGAATAACGGGCAAAACACATGAATTAATAAATTGTATGAGAAGAGATTGGGTTATACCTGAGTGCCTCAACTTCTTTATGTAATAAGTCAGACGGAAAACTTTCGTAGAAACTATAAGAATATGAGACGACCAGCAAAGGTTTGAAGAGAAACTAATGCCAAGATAAGAAACACTTGACTTACTCTCTATCATGGTACCATCAATATTACAACAATCATGAGATTGGATCAATCCATGCATGTCTTTTTCATTTCTCAAGCTGAAATCAACAGTATTACATTTAGTTGGATTTAGTTTAAGACCATTTGAGCTAGACCAATCCTTAACTTCAGCTAAGAAGCCATTCATATGGGAACAATCCGATGTGGAAACTACAGGGACAGAAACGGTCAGATCATCAGCATACTTAATGAAGTTAACTTTGGGTGAGTTCGGAAGCTCATGCAAAAAGAAAGAGAAAAGAAATGGAGAAAGTACCGCACCTTGAGGCACACCACTTTCAGTTAGCTGAGAAGTGGAGCGCTTTCCAGCCAAAACAGTATGCTGTTTCCTATCCTTAAAATAAGAAGACAGCCATCTAGTTGCCCAGGACTCTGTCTGTGCTGAAATCATCTTTCCTAATAAAAGTGTCCTAGGAACAGAGTCAAAAGCTGCAGTATGGCCTAAAAAAGCTGTTCGAACGAACTTAGCACCCTTATCAAGGCAGGAAACAATATTGTGGTGTAGTACAATGGCTGCATCTAATGTACTTCTTCCACACTTATAAGCAAACTGCTTAGGGTCACTAAAAGCTTTTAAAGAAGGTTTAAGAGTATTCAAAAGAAGTTTCTCCATAGTTTTCAAAAAAGATGTTATAGCGACCGGTCTAAACTTTATACCTGCTCCAGATGATGATTTCTGTACAGGTACAACCTTGATTTCTTTCCAGTCAGAAGGTACCGTTTCCTTGTTGAATGATGCATTAAAGATTTGAGTAAGAGGATGACACAAGATGTCTGCACACTTTTGAAGAAGAATGCCTGGTACACCATCTGGACCAAGGCTGTGTGTTGGATTTAAAGATTTCAAACATAATAGTACATCCTCTTCTTTAAAACCCGGAAAATTACCATTATCTTGACTAGTTACATCAGGTACAGGTATATTAATTTGTTTCATGATAAATGATTTGTTTAAAGCATTAACATCAGAATAAGCATCAACAGACATTTGTTTTTTACTTGTAAATTTATTGAAAAGTTTCCAAATGTTTGAAGGATTTTTACATGATAAAAAGTTTTCATTATATAGTCTGTTCAATCTTTCTATTTCAATTTTTATAAGGGTGTTTATTTTACGGACACCAGTATTATCACAATTCTTATACAACTTCTCTTTTTGTCTTCTAAGTTTTTTCAGCTGCAAAGAAGAGATTCTGTCAAATCTCGAAAACAGTGTTTCATATGGACAGCAAATATCCAAACAAAACTTCAGATAATCGGTTATATTAGAGACAGTAGCATCCAACTTATCGTCAGTAAATAGTTCTCAGTTGGTATCATACAACATGCTTCTTAGTGCTAGAATGTTATCATGGGAATATGAACGTTCATGTATCTTCTTTGTTAAATGACTAAACAATTTTTGTTGTTGTAACTTGCCGTACACTTTCGGTAAAATACGAATAATGCAGTGGTCAGAGTTTAACAAAGGAGCTCTCCTTCTGGTTTCATATACATCACGGTCGTTTATGAAAACCAGGTCTAGTGATTTGTCCAGACGTGTATTAAACTTGACTAGATTCTCATGACCAAGTGAAGTAAGAAAGCTGTGATCACATGAATTAAAATCACCATAGACTATAGACAGCGAGTTTCCGAAATCAGGAGCAGCGAATTCAGTAAATTCATCTGCAAACGTAACTATATTTGAAAGGCTACAATTGGGTGTTATGTAGATATTTGTTATGTATATGTAAGAATATTTACTTAAGTGTTTTGGGCGACACCTGACGGTTATGCAGTCTATATTGTCACTAGAATAATTGAAGCAAACGTGATTTGATGTAGACCAACTTATGTTTATAAAAGTGGCTACCCCTCCTCCACATTTTTTCTTAGAACTTTTTCTATCTTGTCGAAAAACTTTATATCCATTTATTGAAACTAGATTATCATCATAATGCTGGTGCAGCCAAGTCTCTTGTATTGCTAAAACGCCAGCGTTTCGATAAACATTAGAATACATTAGGGATTGAAGATAATCCATTTTGTTGGACAAGGATCTACAATTTGTGCTAACGAGTTCAGGAATAGTCATTTGATTGATTTGTGTACGTTTCAGTGCACGCTGCCATCCACAGTGATACTTTTTTCTCAATTTTTGTGGATGACACAACGCAGTAGGTTGTAATGATTTTAAAAATGCGCGATTATATATAATACGATTAGAACACATTATTGATAAATTAAAACAAAATTAAAAGAGCAAACCAAAGCAATTTTGCAAAATATGGTAAGGTGGAATTTTTGGTAGCCCTATGTTCAAGCAGGCCGCCGTTTTTGATCTCTGAAAACCAGCTGGCTCCTATCACAGAGGATATGCTTATTTCTTGAGAAGAACATGCTGTTATCTGGTTGGTGTGTTTGACTTGCCTACCTGTATACTGTGGTTTACACTTAAACTAGATCTCCATTAATCCTAGTTACTGTCTAAGATTCAATTGAAATTTCCAAGTGTTGGTTTGTAGGGATTTTAGTTTGGATGGTAGATTTCATCATGAGATGACATCAGTTACAGAACCACTGGAAAATCTGGGAGTACTGGACAGCCAGATGTTTCTTCCTAGTTTGGGATTCTTCATCAGTACGCACTCACCAATGGAGTTCGAACCCAGAACCTTCTGGTTGCAAAGTGAGCTAGCTCCTAGACCATCGCCGAAATTCGATCAAATAGCCAACACATGAATTTTAACTTCTATCAGCCAGTTCATGACATAGCGTAACCACTTCGCAATGTTTCCTTCGATGAATTACTACCTCACTTTCAACTTGCTGTACCTTATTGGTCACCCACTGTACCCACTAGAACCCCAGGTCACTGCCGGAATGGGGCCAGTCGCTAGTGAAATTGTCAACCAGTGCATGCTTTCCCATACTAGTTATCTCAACATTTCTAAGTGGCATTGAGTTCACTTGGTGTAGTATTGCATCGAATACGATTGGATGCAGTCTGCGTACCGCAAATTAAATTACTGTATTTAATGCAAAGTACAGAATTAAGTGCGAATACTTGTTAACCAACCTACTGATCAATTACATCCAAACCATATCTTCAATGCAAGAAAAATTCAGGAAATATTTGTGAAATAAGAAAACTGAGGGACAACAGAATGATAGGGGACTTTTACCATCCATTTGTGCCGATTAGAATAAAAAAGCGGGTAACTTCTGACGATTAATCTATTGCAGCAAACAAACTAATTGATTTAGTATTACTTTTTAGAAGAATTCATCCTTCTGTCACAAAACTGTAGGAAGCTTAAACCATAAAGATTCACGGAAGTCGTCAAATGATTTAGGTGCTAAAGTAATTGACCTAACAATATCCATGCTGTTCTGTTTTCAAATATGTCAAAACAAATGTCATCTGATTTGGCGAATGCTAACTGAATGATTAGATAAGAATTAAGGTGTTTAGTATTGTAAGGATTAAAATAGGATAAGTTCTTGGTTTCGCGGTTTAATTTTGGGGCTTTCGTGATCCTTCCAGACAACATTTTCAATGCTAACTTCAAGATGGAATGGTTTTTTATAATCCTCCATGAATGCAATATTCACTGTGTGCTATTGGTCATATACATGACTGGCTGTCTCCTGAGATTTTCTTACTATTTTGTCTACGTTTATTGGTACTGAGTATTTCGCTGAACTAATACATCATCAAGTGTCTATGTGACTTCATACTAAATGGTTGATAAATATGATCTCAGTCAGTATTTCTACTGAGTGTACAGTCATCTGATTATAGAGCTTCTAAGAAATACCTGGTATTCTTGGTGTTGCCTTTGCCTAACCTTGTTATCTTCTCTTAGTTGAAGTGATGGACACAGTTGTCTGTATGTGTTGATATAAAGGAATGACCATCATACCTATTAGCACTAATTTGTAAATGACATCTGTTCCAATACGTTTGCGTATTCTGGAGGTGACTTCAAAGATGTTCTTCACATACTACAGGACGATTTTCTCTGTAGTTTTAGAAAGTTACTTTTTCCGAATGTTTCCTTGAAAAAGACATCCTTGAGTGGAGTTGCACGGAAAACTGCTTTTTGTAGCAAGACAACCAGATGATGTGCTTGTTTCATTCTCCATAGAAGAAGAGTTTTGCGATGACACCCGGGTCTTTTGAATAATTTGATATATAGACTCTTTTGCGTGAGGTGAAACTGTTGTATTTGCAACCGATTAACAATCCACATAGATCAGGTGCTAAATTGCAACAGCAACAATGTACCAATCTGATTTTTGTACAAAGAACGAGTTCATTAAGAGAGTTTATTGTCACATTCATGGAGTATTCTAAGACCCCACTTCATCTTGAAGTTAGTGATGAAAATGTTGTCTGGAGAGTCTCCCAATTAAAAACCATTCAGCTTAGAGAGTTGTACTTATATCAAGAGGTGAAAATCATGAAACTCTTTGAAATTATCAATACATAAAGGAACTCGATTCTCCTCAAGTTTGCCGAAGTAATTTCTATCAGACACTTGAAATCAGATTTATGCATTCAGAAAGAAGCAATTGACAATCTTTCCTTGTCCTGGTAACTGGATGTCTTTATTTTCTCTTTCATTAGACTACATAATCTTTGGCTTTAACCTCATGCCCCTTTTGATATAGTGTAATTTTGCTTGTCTCTTGTTACTATGGTTTGAGTTGAACTAAGTACATTGTTACCCAAATTATTAGTCACTCATTATCTTGCGCATCTCTTGTCCCTATTACGTAACTCCTATACCATTGTATGCATACATTTATTTTCTTTAAACTTGAACAACCTGTGTAAAATCTATATAAGCGTAATTTTCTGAGCACTGTTCACTAATTGTGGAACCTTCTGTCAACTGACATCATAAAAAATTTTCAAGCTGTAAGCAGCTGATGAGAAGCCAACGAAATAAGCAATGATGGTAGCATATTATTCTGCAAATACCACCACTGTTGTTCTTGCTTTATTCAAATTCATCAAGGGGAATAAATGCATGAGAAAAATTACTTAAGTTGAAAAAATCTCCTGCATCATTTCTGAAATTTATTCTATTCAACATGTTTAACAGAAGACTACATCTCTCGAACTTCTGCACGACGACAGATATATATATATAACCAGCCTTAAGATACCCCTTTTATTTCGAGTTGGATCAAGGATTGATGTCACTTATAGAACCACTAAAAACTACCAAGGAGTACCGGACAGCTGTTTTGCCCTATTTCGATACTCTTCATCAACAGGCACCCGCAATCCAATTAGAGGTTGAACGCATGCCAGGAACTCAGTGGTCTGTAAAATTCCAAAAATTCCATTTCAACTGTTAATGCATCCTCATATCACAAAGTAAGAAGGATTGTCCTAGCAACTAAACTCTAGGATTTGGAACAAACTGAGATAGATTTAATTCAGTTTTAGATTTTCCTGTCGAGCCTCAGTGAGAACATCATCACTCACCGCGGAATGCAGGTGCATCCAGATGACAATTCCCAAATAGGACGAAATGCGCATCCTGGATTCCACTGCTAGTCACCATCCACCAGTTAACTGAGACAGAATTTGATTAACTAAACAGGAGCGGGTCACGAAGAATATTTCCAACAGCCTGTTGCAGACCTTGATCAACAACTGTCTTCGTTCTATACTGAAGATCAGATGACCGGAAAGAATCACAAACAAGAATCTACGGGAACAAAAAAAACAAGAACCAACCGCTCAACAAATATGCGGGAGAAAGTGGAGATGGATTGGACACTCGCTGAGGAGACAACTGGGTGACATTGCGCGTCAGGCCAACGCTAAAGTGGAACACGAAAGGGAAGCGGCGAGTGTGACGTTCAAGGGTGACATGGTGGAGATCGTGTGAATAGGAACTGAAACAGTATGGAATAACATTGATACAAGTGAAAATTACAGCAGGAGACAGAAGCAAGTGGAGACGTGCAGCTGAAGCCCTATGTTCTACTAGGAACCCAAGTGAGCAACAACAACAGCAACAAATCGGAGCAACTGTTACCCAGCTTCACCAAATTAAAAGTACTCTCGTTCAAAATGCTTACCAATCTCCTAAAACATGAAATGGATGACATCAGAACTTCAACGAAATGACATTAATTGACCTTTAAGATGCTAAAATAATTTTAATTGTGAAGCTAAATTATGAAATTGATTTACAATATAAGTTAACATCAGAAAATAGTTTCATATTACTTTTTTAAAAGATAAAATCAAACAGGGTAGAGAAATTTGAAGCCTAGGTTATACATATATATGTTGAACAGTTCACACATGTACTTCTTGTGTGCATTCTATTATGGTGTAGAATTCATTAAACCCTTTCAAATCTTCAAAACTACACCGAGGGGAAATATACATCATTTCGTGTAGTAAGTGATGGAACTGAGGGTCAAATACTAGGTGCATACAGGACAAATGTGTATAGATAGATAGACATCTGTGAGCAAGCATAGCTTACTGCAAATGTATCTGCAATTGTTTTTTTTTGCTTTGTGTGTGATAAAAGAATCTAATAAGCAAAGTTATACAAGTCCTAAAATATTGATTGTTGATTGTATTATGCAACTATCCGCTAGGCATTATCCTCTCTTAATAAAGAAGTGTTTTGTTTTAAGGCCTTTTTTCTCTCCTCACTTGATCTGATACGATTCGACGACTGTTGGCTAATCGCCTCCAAGTAACACGGTAGATATTGACCTAAAAATTGTGGATCATGATTCGATTTTGTTGAATGCATTTCTGGGTGGAACACTGTTGGCAGTGCTTTGACGTGAATATGTACACAATTATCATCCATCCCGCGTAGTTGCATGTGTTCAACTGCTTTGCGTAAATCTTGAGTGTTTGTTAGGACACAGTGATGAAAACCATCTGTAAGGGGGAAGAAAATGAAGTTTGTTAGACGGGAGGTATAGATAAAATAGGTCAACTGGTTGATGAAATCAAGAAAATGTTTTATTATAAATATATATATATACATATGCAAGCGATAAGCAACAAGTTGGCAGAAGAAGCATCAAAGATAGAACTTCAGGTGAGCATAGACAAAACAGAGGTGATGAAGATTCCTGGGCAACACCACCAACAGCAACAACAACAGACAACAATCAGCATAAATGGGAGGAACCTGAAAGAAACACCCTCTTTTACCTACCTGGTGAGCATCGTTTCTACTACAGGTGGAACTGACAAGGATATCAAAGAGAAGATTGGGGAAGCAAGGTAAGCTTTCATTACTCTCAAGTCTATGTGGAGGGGTCAACTCCATTCAGCATGAAAAATAAGATCCGGATTTTCAACTCCAGTTCGAAGTCAGTGATTACTTACTATTACTTACCAGTGGGTTACGAAGGGCACTTCGAACAAAATACAGACTTTCATCAACAGCTGTCTTCACTCAATATTACTCAAGATCAGATGGCGGTCAGAAATCACCAGCAACAGGGATCTCTGGGAACGAATCAAACAACCCAGCAGGAACTAATTGTACAACAAATATGCGGGAAGAAATGGAGGTGGGAAAACAAACCACCATCAAGTGATATCACACAACAGGCCATCACTCAAGTAGAACCCGAATGGGAAGCAGCGAGTTAGTTGTTCGTCAGTGTGAGGGTGACATGGAGAAGATGATGTGAAGAGGAGATAAAAGCATGTGAGCAGACGTGGAGCCAGGTGAAAACGTTGGCGGAGAACTGAAAGCAATGGAGGCGTGAACTAAAGGAAACAATGATAATAATAAACGGTAGACGCCCATTCCACTTGAGACTGTACTCATCAGCAGTGCACCCTGTTAAACTCAGCTTAGACAGCCGAATCAGTGAAGACCATCTGAATTATAGCCCACTACATCGGATCAGATTCGCCTTTTTGCCATCTACACAGTTTTGAAGTGAAATTTCATTAGAATCTCATTTCAGAAATGGAAATTATTCATACCAAAAAATGTGATATGTATATAGGATGCCCTCAAAGACGCCTGTGTTATAAACAAAACTGTGTAATCTAAATGGTTCACTGCCTTCATTATCATCTGTGTACTTTAAAGTAATGTGGAAAACTCATTTTTATCAAACTATATTAAGGAATACTATTCACTGAAATGTTACACATCAAAGACTATTAGGTCCATTGTTTAATTTTAAAGTAACTAAGCAACACTGAGTGTAATAGAGTAAATCTGCATAAATTAAATCATGATTATTCTATAGGTCTTGGGTGTTTTAGTAAAGTTTTCAATTCTTATGCAAAAATACAGGCTAATTTAAATTAGTTGAGAAAGCAAACGAAAATTAGTACTTTTTATACGAGTTGATCACGGATTGATATCAGTTAGCGAACCATTGGAAACCAGAACTGGAGTATTGGATAGCTGTTTCATCCTACTTCGGGAATCATCGGCAGTACGCACCCACCGCCAGGGTTAAAACCCATGACCTTCCAGTTACAAGGCAAGCTCGTATACCATTCAGCCACTGGGACCCGATTCAATGGCTCATGAATTCTAACTTCTACCATTTCGGGATTTAGTGTGACCCCAACCAATGTAGTCGGTGGGACATCCATCCTCACACGTGACATCTGGATGGACCTCACTGGTCACGACTTCTCTCTAACTGATACCAATCCGTGATCAACTCGTATAAAAAAACCTTACAAACCAAACTATAGAAATAATAGTACTCTTCAATAAAAATATTCTAGGATTAACTGATGAATGTTACTTTTGACTTTGCATACTTTAAATCTTCCACATGCGCATGAATGTTGTAAATTTATTTACAGTTTGATAATTTAAAAATATTAAAAAGACGGCTGCAGCGAAGAAAATTTTGCTTTTCGACGAATTCATCAACTAGACAGTTGTACATTCATGTATTTATATTACATGTTTGAGAAAGTTCCACAATTATTCCCGGTCAAATGTCAGAATTATAAAACTACTAAGTGTAATAAACAGAAGATAGATAGATAGGTAGTGGCACTATTCTAGAAATATTTCAGACCAAAGCTCAAACTACAAAATTACAATGTGTAATAATCAGGAAAATCGGGTAGAAGAGACAAAATAGGGTGATAATTACTAGAAAACTATTCAGTTTGTAAAATTACGGGTTAGGGAGGTAGTATTAACGAAATGGGTAGCAGGTTCGGACATCATAATAATTCAGATAGGGATTTGAAAGGTAAATATAACAAATAAACGGAAAGGTTGGACAAGAAAGGTATTAGGATAATCAATATTGGTGAGACTAACTTTTCATGAGGGCCACGGCAGGTACAACGGTTGCACTGGACGTATTTCTTTTGAACACACTGGATTCTGGAACTTTATCACACATATAATATAAATACACGAATGTACAGCTGTCTAGTTGATGACTTCGTCGAAAAGAAAATAATCTTCTCTGCAACCGTCTTTTTAATTATTCCTATGATCCAATGTGCATATTCCGTAATTTAAAACATCTTTGTAAGATGCAATAAGCTTTGGTGGTTCAGCAGTAGAAAGTTGGCTGACTATTTGCATGCTCCTCGGTTCGATTCCCGGTCGCCGCACTCTTTTAACTCCCCTAGCAGGTTGTAAACCTGAGAAAGAGGGAAGGTTGGGTGTGAGGCTAGCAATTCCACCATAACACTGCTATTGAAACTTCAAAATACCTCTAGCTTGAAACTCTATGTTCCACTTGGAACGTAAAAGAATAAATTATCAAATGCAATATCAAATTACATACTCAAATGTTTAACTTAGTGAATCTGGTGAAGATTTAGGCAGCATGAAACTGAATGAATTCAGTTCATCTCAAAAGGTTTGTTCAGTGAACACGAGGTAATAAAAATCAAGCGAATGACCTGTCAAAAAGACCCTGAACAATCAATTACAGTCTTGCCTTCTATTGAGTTGTTGATATGTGAATTAAACAGTCATTTGCACTCGTTGGATTCGAATCTCATAACAAGGAGTAAGATTTTTACATGTGAAGGTAGAATGATAGCTATGTTTCCGGATATAACGTGGATATTAGGTGGCTTAATATGTTGATTATTTGGGAACTTTCTTTGGTAAATCGAAATTATTAGCTACTCATATACTATGTATTCATCCTTAGTGAACACCAATGCAACTTGTAACATCCACTGCAAGTGGAACTAAAAAAGCCCTGATTTCTATATTTTATGGGTCCCGATATTATCGAGATGTTGACTCAATCAAGTTAAGTATCATAAAGCATGTTATATTTGAGCGGAGTAGAAGTAACTTTGATTGGACCCTAGGTACTAACTAATGCCATGTGTCTAGTCCTTCATTAGAACTAGTGTATAATTCCGTTATGGGCAAAATTTATTTTGATAAAGTCTCACAGTGTGCTGTACAGTAATATTTACTAATGACCACGTTTCCAGCATAATTTACCACTAACACTCATAAACATATCAAGACACTACTCACACAACTTTCTTATTTCGTTTATATTATTCCATTATTTTTCATTGCTTGAATTGATTGATAGTAGTATTTTCCATATTTCCGGTATGAGTGATTTTTTTATTCCTTTACGTTCCAAGTGGAAAATATGGCTTCAGCCTAGAGGCTTGAAGCTTTCCTAGCAGTGGTGTTTATTTTTACAGAATGGGATCGCAAGCCTTATGCCCAACCTTCCTTCTTTACCAGTCTTATAAGTAGCTTAGAGAGGTTAAGGGGTTCGTCGACCGGAAATCGAACCACGGACCACATGCGTGATCGGTCAGCATTCTGCCGCTGAGTCGCTGAAGTACGAGTGATGAGTCATTCCTATTGCATGTTTCGGGTGTAGACTCGATACATATAAACTCACTAGTAAAAGGAATAAAATTCATATTGCAATCGGAAAATGAACAAGGAGAATTAGCTATGCTAGATAGTAACATAAAACGAACAAAAGAGGGTAAACTGCACACTAGAGTTTGTGAAAAGCCAACACATCCTAACAGATATTTAGACTTTAATTCATCTCATCCGTTATTTGTCTGTGAAAGCAGGCTTTGTTAAGTGCCTAAAAAACCGAGCAATAGCACTAAGTAATACAACAACAAAACGATCAAATGAAACATACAGGAGAGGTGTTGGTGTTAAATAACTAACTATCCTACAATATTCACTTGGAATATCAAAAAAGTTCAAAAGCAAAATAAAAATAACGGGGAAACAAGTAATGATAACATAAATAAGAGAGAGAATACAAGGCGTCTACAGTTCTACCATATGAGGAGGGGACATCTGAGACCCTTCGTAGGATTCTCAATAAAGCAGGAATTAGGGTGGCATTCAAACCTACAAACTCACACAGGGACAAGCTCTGTAGGTTAAACGATCCTGTAAGTTGAACCAATTAAACAAAATAATATAATTTACAAAATAACTTGCAATGACTGTGTGTTATGTGAACTACATAGGTCAAACTAGTAGATCAGGAGTAATGAGATTATCAGAACATAAGAATTTAGCTAAGGTGAGAATGACTGATCCCATGAAGATAAGTAATTTACAAAAATGCTCTGCGATTGCACTGCATGCATTAACTCACAATCACATAATAGGGTGTGTGGGACAGAGTTGAAATTCGAAGAAGTAATATAGGTTGGTGGGGAGAGAGGTTGATTACTGAATCCTGCCTCGTTCATCGAGTCTACACCTGACACGTGCATTAGGAAGGACTCATCACTCATACCGGAAATATGGAAAATACTACTACCAATCAAGTAAAGCGATGAATTTAATGGAATTATATCAACAAAGTTAGAAAATTGTGTGAGTAGTGTCTTAATATGATTATCAGCTGTAGTAATAAATTGTTCTGTAAACGTGGTCATCAGTCAATATTACTTTATAA